TTTAAACATTAAAAAACAGCACAGAAGATTTGCCCAAACTTGTTAAAATATCGCGTCTCTATTTATATTTTCGCCAGTGTATAGCGTATGTAAATAAATGCATACACAGTTATGTACATAAATGTATATAAATATGTACATGTAAATGTATTTGCGATGAACTCTGCGTTGCACATATTTTCATTGTTGCAACTTGTCTTGCGCTTGGTGCAGCGCAGCGATGCTTCGAAGTCACATTTATGACGTTGTATATAATTTCACTTTTACTTTGATCTCTGTTAAAAGTTGTTGGCATCTTGCAAGTTTTCTTTTTTTGATATCAACTATTTACGTGTTTAGATATTTAGACACACATATGTACATACACATATGCACTACACGTAGTTTTATAAACGTAAAACCAAATTTTATGTAGGTAATATATATATTTCCGCCATAAGTACCTATGTATGAATGTATGTACATGCGGGTGTATACAAAAGCTCATATGAACCAAATAAAATTCGCATATTTAAATATGTATCACTATGTACTTCTCAGGATTTACACGAATTTAGCATGATGGATTCAATATAAATTGTTTTAAATAATTTCATCAATAAAATGTGACAATTACTTACATATGTACATACATATGCACAAAAGCAAGAAACGAACACCTGCCCACTTATTTACGTAAGTGCGTATGTAGGCGGCGAATGTTTTTAATTATCAGCACTTCATGAAATGATACAAAAATTACAATTTAATCTGGAGCTGGTCATCAATAATGAAAAAACCGCGCTTGACACTAATCCGATGTTGTATCTACTGTGTGTTAAATGTTACAATACAAATATTTTTGAACTTTAATAAAAAACTTGAGTATATAACTGCTCTTTTTGAATACCGCTGTATTTCGACAACAGCATGCACACCGCGACTTATAGAGATTTGTTTACGACTTTCACAAGAAACAGGTGGCGTGTGCACCTTCCAATAGTTGACGGGCAATTGACTGCGGAGCTTTGTACCTCGCCATTGTGAAGAAAGCGACATGAACCAACCGCGTTTCTGCTTATTGCAACTGATGTGCCTGTGGAAGACGCGCAGTCAAGATGTGCAGACACACCAACTTAAGCTTCAAGAGTTTTTGTTTTCATAGGCTCTCATATTTTTACATATTTACTTATCCATGTAAATGTCTATCTTCACACATACATACATACATGCATACGGGCTTTCCTGTCGCTGGTTTGCTAAAAGAACGTTATAACTTAAAAAGTTAAAATGCCGAATTAAACGGCTTTACACTTTTGAGTTAAGTGTTTTGTAACAGAAATAATAACAAAAAAAAACAGAAAGTTGCGGAGTAGCGAAAAATAATTAAGAACCTTACTAAGCTTTTGCACTAAAACAAGTATTAAAATGATATTGTGTACACATACATACATACAATACGTTACGCTTTTTGAATTCTCATTTTTCTGCTAGAGAATTTTTTCAATCTCATTAGATATGTACATACATATCGAGCCCTAACCGCCAAAATAACGTAAGCAACATATTTTTCAAAATTTTATTTTTGATGCAGAAATGCATCTTGATGCTCTAGAAATATTTCTGCATCAAAAAGAAAATTTTGAAAAAAATGTCGCTTACGTTATTTTGGCGGTTAGGGCTCGATATTGTTGCCTCAATATAGAAAGGCCCTATCTCAAATGTGCACCCGCCAAGTTATGCACTCGCAAAATTAAAACTTAAGAAAAGTAATAAAAGTCATATACATATCTAACGTATTTATGGGCCAATTTATCTACTTTGTGCAACGCTTTTATCAACTTGCAATGTTGTGTGTCCAGACCACCATTTATACTATAAATATAGCAAAGGTATTTATGGCAACCCTAGTCTAGATATCAACCTCGTCGTAGATATCGTGTCACAGACAAACAATTAGAAAAACTTTAGACGTAGATGTCGCCCGCCAGAAGAAGTTATATATTGCGCCTAAAAATATGCACTACATACGCTACAGCGGAAACGCACGAAAATAATTTGTATCAATTTAAATAATTCAGTATCATACGTATAAGGATGCAATATCGCTCATAAAATCATCGACATTGGTGATATCGATATTAACCAAAAAATATCGGCTGATCGATATATCGACCAAAAAATATCGATACTATATCGATATTGTATATCGGTTTAAGATTATTTTGTACTCAAAATAGTTCTTAAGAAAGGTTAGTTTTTATGATTTAGAAGTGATGCCAGGAGTTAACATCATAAATTATGTTCGGAATGTATTTCCACGGATAACTTTTGAAATATTAAAAAAGTTAATTTCCGTTCCCGAATTCGGAATACTGGGGTCTTAAAATGCGTCTATTTGAGCGCCCCTTTTGACGAAATAATTTTATGATTACTTGGGATTTCCCAAGTGTCCGTAAACTGGAAAATTACCGTAACAATGTTAACACACGTCGAAAATACATTTTTCTGTTCACTTATTCATTAGAACGTTGTTCCCGGATAATATGGGGCACGACTATTCTCTTCTAGATCCGGACTGAATAATTAAGAAACGCGTTCCCAGTCAATTAATGGAAAAAAATGTGTGATCCAAAAACAGTGCGGCCAGACACGCATTTTTAGTTGAAGCAGTTGTAGTTTCAATTATGGCTTTATTACTCAAACAAAATGGAAATAAGACCATAAGGCCGCATCAGGGTTAAAACGACGGACTACTTAAATGGCGGGAAAGTCGTAGAAAAAATTAAGTTCGATAGAAGCCCTGCAAAAATGCTTCCCATTCAAAAGTAGTGACATAACCCGACAAAATCTGGCGAATTTAAAATTGCGTTGTCATAGGCGGTATCGAATGGCCTCCTTTGCAAAAACTGCAATTTGAACTACAGCATATAGATAGAATAGTCATAAACAGTATAGCTCAGTAAAATTAGACTTTTTCTCAAAAAAATTTGCCCTTAAATTTCATATAGCAACATTCCGCCATCTTGGATTTTAGGACTTTAAGTTTTTTGGGATTTGCATTTTTAGTCAAAAATGGTTTAATACAAATTTGTAGAGAATTTAATTTCACACATTTGTTAATATGTGGAAGTTTTTTTAGAAAAAACAAACTTTTTTATTGTAAATAATTAGATGCGATACTGCGGTACCAATAAAAATAATACGGTACCAATGCGGTACGGGACAATACGGTTCCAATAAGTTATTTTTTTTGGCCCACCATTATAATATACGGTACCAATAAAAATAATACGGTAACAATGCGGTACGGGACAATACGGTACCAATGCGGTACGGGACAATACGGTACCAATAAGTTATTTTTTTTTTGGGCCACTATTATAATATACATATTGTCATGGATAAAATGATACTAGAACTTTTTTTTTTGTGAAAGTACCTCAAAAAGGAGAATTTTTTATAAAGTTTCCCAAAAGTGCAACTTCGGTGGAAACCCCGTGTATTGGAAAAGTCAAAAATTATTTGAATTTAAAGCTTTACATTTTGTAAGTACCGAGTGGTAGCTAGCCACTTCGTGTTTGAGCAGTTCATCGCTCCTAGCCCTTTTGCCCTGCTAAATCATAAAACCNACTCAAAATAGTTCTTAAGAAAGGTTAGTTTTTATGATTTAGAAGTGATGCCAGGAGTTAACATCATAAATTATGTTCGGAATGTATTTCCACGGATAACTTTTGAAATATTAAAAAAGTTAATTTCCGTTCCCGAATTCAGAATACTGGGGTCTTAAAATGCGTCTATTTGAGCGCCCCTTTTGACGAAATAATTTTATGATTACTTGGGATTTCCCAAGTGTCCGTAAACTGGAAAATTACCGTAACAATGTTAACACACGTCGAAAATACATTTTTCTGTTCACTTATTCATTAGAACGGTGTTCGTTCCCGGATAAAATGGGGCACGACTATTCTCTTCTAGATCCGGACTGAATAATTAAGAAACGCGTTCACGGTCAATTAATGGAAAAAAATGTGTGATCCAAAAACAGTGCGGCCAGACATGCATTTTTAGTTGAAGTAGTTGTAATTTCAATTATGCCTTTATTACTCAAACAGAATGGAAATAAGACCATAAGGCCTTATTGCGTATGATATTCTTGCACACCACCAAACGTTTTATCAGGCAGCATCAGGGTTAAAACGACGGACTACTTAAATGGCGGGAAAGTCGTAGGAAAAATTAAGTTCGATAGAAGCCCTACAAAAATGCTTCCCATTCAAAAAGCTCGACAAAATCGGGCGAATTTAAAATTGCGTTGTTATAGGCGGTATCGAATGGCCTCCTTTGCAAAAACTGCAATTTGAACTACAGCATATAGATAATAGTCATAAACAGTATAGCTCAGTAAAATTAGACTTTTTCTCAAACAAATTTGCCCTTAAATTTCATAGCAACATTCCGCCATCTTGGATTTTAGGACCTTGAGTTTTTTGGGATTTGCATTTTTAGTCAAAAATGGTTTAATACAAATTTGTAGGGAATTTAATTCACACATTTTTTTAATATGTGGAAGTTTTTCAGAAAAAAAAACTTTTTTTATTGTAAATAATTAGATGCGATACTACGGTACCAATAAAAATAATACGGTAACAATACGGTACGGGACAATACGGTACCAATAAGTTATTTTTTTTGGGCCACTATTATAATATACATATCATGGATAAAATGATACTAGAACTTTTTTTTGGTGAGAGTACCTCAAAAAGGAGAATTTTTTATAAAGTTTTCCAAAAGTGCAACTTCGGTGGAAACTCCGTGTATTGGAAAAGTCAAAAATTATTCGAATTTAAAGCTTTACATTTTGTAAGTACCGAGCCATTTCGTGTTTGAGCAGTTCATCGCTCCTAGCCCTTTTGCCCTGCTAAATCATAAAACCAGTGCAGAAGGCATTCTCAGTCGCAAATTAAGAAAGTCTTGTATCAATTTATCCATGGCACTATAACTAATATAAAGATTACCTTTCTGATGCTTTTGTATACTTTCTGCTGTATTTCGTGAATGAATTGCCGTCAAAATTTGAGCCAGAGAAGGAATCCTCACTGTACGGATAGCAATTAGCATAACTGAATGACGACGTACAAAGAGTGCAAAAAGAATCAAGCAGAGTTCCGCCGTCGCTAAGATCTTCGGATGTATTTTTACTTAATTCTAGGTCGGTTAGCGCTTTGTATATACAATCTTGACTATTGTTAATCTTTTTCTTCGGCATCGAGTCGTTCCAATCTTCTACAGATATTAAATCTCTTTCATCGTTCTCTAAACTTATTTCCAGCTCTTTAATTCTCGAAGAGCACAATGGGAAATTTGTCATATCCGCTTTTCGTGCCATTGAAAGGTTTTCATTAAAGTGGATTATAGGCCCCGCAGCAAGCTCTTGAGAATTGTGAACGGCATATCCTGCAAAAGATGAATTAGCAGCACTTCGCCCTGCACTTATTTCAATATCCAAATGATGTGCTTGTGATATTCTGTCTGTCGATTGTGTTGTGCTTCGCTCTGCCATCGATATGCCCTTCGATCGCAAGAGATCTATTAAGCATTCCTTTAGGTCACGCATGACAATAGTAGTGATCCCAATATAGATAGCTTCACCTCTGAAATGTAATTTAGATATCTCTAAAGTATTTTACAACAATAAAAATCAAGACGAACTTATATAATACGAGGGTCACTAAAAAATCCTTAGAATAAATTTTACACGCAAAAATCAATATATTCGCGAAACCATGGGCTAAATATAGTAAAATTGCCTTTTTAAGTTTTTCACTCTGACGTCAGTAATTCAAAAATTATTTAAAAAATTCATTGAAATGTGCTTAGAGAAGATGGATGGGTATCAAGTTAAATAGGAAATTCTGTAGAATTTAAACAGAGACAATTTTTTGGTGCATAAGTACTGGTAAGTATTGAAAATGTCCTTTTAAAATTTTATCCTGGAAATTTCGCAATAATATATCGTCTTTCTAACTTTACCAACTTAAAAAATTAAATATTCATCCTTGTGAATCCAAAAAATAAAAAATGTTGTCGGCAAAAATTGCCTTATTGGGGTTTAAAATATTTTTCGGCATGATTTACATATATACTTTTGCTTACGAAGAATTTTTTTTGGCAGTGAAGTTGGTTGGTTCGATGTACATAAATCGTCGCCCGCGAAGTTTATCCTTGATGTACGGGCTTAGGCCACACTGTAGAAGTGAAACTAGTTTGTGAACAAAACCACAGGCTCAAAAAATTCACATTTTTTATTAAAATTCTGAATTTTTCCAAATTCTGTATAAAGAAAAATTATTCATTTGAAAAACATTGCAAATATTTAACAAAAATTAACATGCATTCACTTTTGATCACCAGCGTACATATCTATATGCATCAAAANAAATTCGTAATCGGTGACTCCCAAAACCCCTGAGTAACGATTTTCAAGCGAATCCGATGAATTTTACAAAAATGTGTCCGCCATATTGGATCCGCCATTTTGAATTTTGAAAAAATAATATCATATTCGTAATTAGCGACCCCGAAAACCCCCGAGTAACGAGTTTCAAGCGAATCCGATGAATTTTTCCAAAAGGTGTCCGCCATATTGGTTTTCTGGGGTTATATCAAAACCCTGAACTGATGGGGTTAAATGGACCTCGGATTCGGATTCAGCGACCCCAAAAACATAAAGTACACATATTGAGACCTTTGGGTCAGAACACAAATTTTTTTTTGTGTGGCTGTGTAATCTTGTGAAAACCTAAAAAAGATATTATAATTGAAGGTTAAAATGAACAAAGAAAACTTGTTAACAGAACTTGTTTTCAAATTTCTGCTTACGAGGTAAGTTATTTAACAGAAATTTAACTTTTCGCTNGCATAACTGAATGACGACGTACAAAGAGTGCAAAAAGAATCAAGCAGAGTACCGCCGTCGCTAAGATCTTCGGATGTATTTTTACTTAATTCTAGGTCGGTAAACGCTTTGTATATACAATCTTGACTATTGTTAATCATTTTCTTCGGCATCGAGTCGTTCCAATCTTCTACAGATATTAAATCTCTTTCATCGTTCTTNGGGGGGGGGGGGGGGGGGGCGAAAAAAAAATTTGTTTTCTTTTATTTGACAAACTCGAGTGTGTGACAGCTTAATAATTAAAACGTATTTATTAAAAACTGGATACACTTTTCTGTTATTAATAAATGTTATTAATAATGTTTTAATAAATGTCTCCATTATTTTATTAATAAATGTCTCCATTAGTTACATTTTTTAGATGTTCAATGGCTAAAGAGTGCCTTGTTTTCGTAATGTTTAATTTATTTATACTCAAGAAAGAGATTCATTTAAGCTGTCAAAGAAGTACGTAATACTTTTAAGTTGTGTATGTGTAGTTTAAACAATACACATATATAAACAATAAGCAAAAATTCAATTTAACTAATAAGTTAAAAAAAAAATTTAAGCAATCACAAGATTATTTAAAAATTGCCTTATTAAACATATTCAAACATTTCATAATCCAATAGGATATAAAACAAGCTTTCATTTGATATACATCATGTCTTCAGTCCATTCTAAACAGAGTATTAAAAAAAATGTAGGAGGCCTTCGGCGGCACTTAGGGATTATAACCCTCACTAAGTAGAATTCTCCTTTGTGTGTTGCGAAAGAAAAGGGGGTGAACACCTTTTGCGGAGAACACTTTTTGGCGGACTTCGGCCGCACTTAGGGATTATAACAGTCTCTAAGTAGAATTCTCCTTTCTACGTTGCCGGAGAAGAGAGCACCTTATGTGAATAAACTACAGTAAATGTAAGATCGTCACTTGCTTGTAAATGCATTTATATTTTTTAATATCACTGAATTCTTAAGCCTCAAAAGCAGTTCATAATAAAATATTTATACCAAATTAAAGGTAATAACTTGTACTTTCTAAGTAATGTACATTTCTCTATCATTAATCACGTAATTTTTTTAAAAAATCATTTTATGAAAAAAATTATGATTTTTTTTTTTAGTTTTTTAATATTTGGGCTTTAAGATATGAAAAATAATATAAATTAGATACATGAAGTGAAAGATAAATTAATTAGCTTTTTTTACACATTACTCTTTTTAATCGGTTATGTAGTTCAAAAAATATTAATATTTAAAAAATTTCAAAAATAACTTTCAACACTAAATATCTTGAAAACTAGAAGGCCCCTAAAAGTGGGCATATTTGAAAAGCGGAGAAGCCCAGTTTTCCCATGGCAAAGTCAAAATTTGTCTGTTGTTGTTGTCGTAATCTCCCCGGCGGTACTATCCATAGTACCCCGGCTCTACTTTGAAAGATATAGCTATTGGTTCCGTAATGGAAATATCAGCTCCCCCTTCACCATACACCAAAAAATTGTTGTACAAATAAGCAAACATTTCTCAAACTGGTCCTGAGTTTCTTAAACACCCGAATGAGGGCCCTTGATAGTTGTTCATAAACACAAAACGTTAAGCGCGAGTTTATGGCTCAACGTGGACATACTTTATTATGTACGCTCAATAACGTGGTTTATAAATAATAAACTTAATTTTATGAAATAAAATTTATTGTATGCAATCTACCAATGCTGAGAGACCCTATTTCAGATTGGGTTCACAAGTCAAACAACGTTCTAAAAACACACTTTAAAAGAACATCTTTTAAGGTGCTTATTATTTAAATAGTATAGTCGCTTTCAGACTCAATCTCGGATTCTAAACTATCACTGTCGTCATTTAACTTAAGCAGCTCAATCTTTTCCAGCAACTCTTCTCGAGTGCGCGGCAAATGCTTTTGAGACTCCAACTCTTCGTTGTCCTCTTCTAAAATTTCTTGACTCTTGCCTTTATTCATATAACGAATAAAAGCTCTTCTTTTACGTTCAGGCAAAGATTTTATAAGTCGATCCATTTCAACTTTCAACTTGACTTGTTCTTCTGTTGTGGGCTGAGATGGTTCAATTTTCACCTCTTCAGCATTTTTGAGGCACTTCGCGCAGACTCTTGCCTCCAGCGCGCAAGAACGGCAAAGCACATGGTACGCTTTTGTTATATTTCTCTGTTGACATCGAGTACAATTTTTCGGTTGAGACAATGGTTTATATTTCTTATATTTAATTTTCCATTCAATAACATCCTTGCAATGTTGGCAAACCTCAGAAACGTGTAGCGAATTCAATTTTTTTTGTTGATTTGTTTTATCGTGCAGATCGTTTTTAAAAGCAGAGCGATTTTTATGCTTTTGAGGCCTGGTTCTCGATGTGTTGCCGCGTTGCGTACTCATTTTTGAGTTGTATGCTTAGTTTTTCTAAAAACGCATGCGTTTTTTAATCAAAACATAGATTCTAATTCTCAAATAACAATCATACAAATGTATCGTATGTAAAAAATATCGATAACTCTCTTCGATGTTAAAGTCTGCATGCACGCTACCCATTCCCCATGATGCAATAATACAAGGTGGTATCAGTTGTGAAAGCTCGAAATTTTGCTTTTTTATAGTATATTCGCAATGAAATGAAATAAAATAAGATATAATACCTTTTTGAGAAAACAAAATGTGTATACTGAGAAAAATTTCAGCTATATTATTAGGCAAAGAATTGAAGAAAAGCAAAAACTCCATATAAAATGACGTACAAGAAATGGCTAAGAAATTTTCTTGAGTCAAATTTCCTTACGGCAGTACGCTGTTCTTAAGAAATTTACTACGCTTTCTACTACGGTTTTCTAAAGTTTTGTGTGAAAAAAGAGCACAAGGCAACCCAGGTTTGCAACAGAAATATATGCCCGTTCCATTATTTCTTGAGAAAAGAGTGAGGCAACAGGCTGTGAGGTATCAAAAATGTCAAAATTCCTTGGACACACACGAAATAATGACAATTTTTTCTTGACCGTTTTCTTGAGAGCTGCATACAGGGCTTAAGAAACGCTTTCCAGCAGAAATTAGTGATAATTTGTGATAATTATTTTAAGAAACAACCTTTTTGAATACTCTTCGAGGTAAAATCTGATCAGGGTTGATAATGAGAAGTACGAATGTTCGATGAATCGATTTCATTCATTGCATGTAAAAGCTATATGGCGATATATAGGGCTGAACAATATCGATATCGGAAAAATCGATGTTGAAAATCCTACTCCCAATTGAATAGAATGTTAGACCTGCTTGACAACTCACCTAATTGTGTTATTTCCATCTTGTATATTTACTGAGGATTAAAATGGCATGCCGGTCGACTCAAGCGATTTGTCAAACTTAAGAGCTAAATAAATCACACAAGCTGCTGATTAAACCTAATTTAGTATTTTTCCATACACTTTTATGTAGATGAAAAATAAATTTCAACTTAAATATCGATATTGCGGGTAAAGTATCGATGTCTTCGGTATATCCATCTTGGAATATCGATTCAAAAAATCGATTATCGCGCCATGAAATATCGATATTCAGAAAAATCGATACGATATCGAACATTCCTAATGAGAAGGATCATTCATTTTGCTGATTCAGAGTTGCACACAAAATTACTATGGAATGAAAAGGAGCAAACAACAAAGTGTGATCCAAACCCAGAGATCTACCACATTTTTTTGAAATCTACTAAATTTTTTTCCAGATTCCACACAGACCACATAGATTTTTTTTGATTCCGATCACTGATTCCAGTGCTATTTGAACTTGATCATGTGGTTCTTGGTTTTTTTGGGTTCTGATAATAATTCTATTTTCAGAATGTTTAACTTTTAGGAGTCTCGTCCTTAAGTTATTTGTTTTTGTTATTTATGGCCATATAACAATTATATTCAACAATATATCTTGCTCTTTATTATACTAAAATTCGTTTTTTTTTTGTAGATTATAATTAAAATGTTGCAATTTAGGTGAAACCTTGCAGAATTTTTTTAATTTTCGTACAAAGTTTGATCCAGAACCAGAGGTCTACACATTTTTTGAATTCTACACATTTTTTTGAAATCTAGCACATTTTTTTCCAGATTCTACCACACAAAAATTTAAGGTCCGATCACTGATTGTGGTTCATTCTGTGTGGTGAGAAATAAAATTTTATACAAAATTCATTCGGTGTAAACGCTTTGGCATATTGTTATAATTCCAAGTGAGAAAATTGCGAATTTAAATCATATATTAAGTATATTTGTTGCCACTTTGGCGTGGGAAACGCTTTAGAAAATGTTGACGTCAAGAAACCGAACTAGAAACAAACATTGTAATAAGGAAGTGAATCTACCTGAGGAGGACCGTTTACAATTACAGCAACGTATATCAGATTTTTTAGCCGGCTCCGATGTTGAGTTGGTTATTCCGGGATTGTCCAATGCCCAGCGCAAGTTTTTACACAAATACATTGCTAGACTTGGACTATTATCACGGAGTTATGGCTCGAAAGCAAGCCGGGTGCTTCATATTACACATCGCAAGCGTTTGACATCATTAGGATTTCTACATAAATTAGAATTGTCGTCGGTTAGTCGTTCTTTATTAGAGAAATCGTTACCATTTCTTGAAACACATACAAGTGAAACAAATCATATTCAACATCAGCAAAGCTCACGCCAGCAACTCGCAAAAAGGAATCGCATTCGGAGTGAGGCATTGTTACTTGGGCTTGGACCGCGTCTTGTGCCACCACGTGCCCATCGCATAAGTTCGGAACTCTATCGAGATAAACAAGAACTTCCTATATACTTATATCAAGAAGAAATACATAATATGTTGAAACAACATTCTGTAAGAAAAATATTATAACTATGAAATTTGAATAACTTTAGACTTATTTTTTCAGATCTTTATAATCAGTGGCGAAACTGGTTCAGGCAAAACCACACAAGTACCCCAATATATTTTAAATGATAGTATGCGCAAAAACCGGGCTTGTCGCATTGTAGTATCACAGCCTAGAAGAGTAGCTGCTGTTTCTGTTGCCCATAGAGTTGCGGAGGAACGTGGAGAACAAATCGGTAATACTGTGGGTTATCAAATACGATTGGAAAGTACGTAAGGTTTAATAAGAATATAAAACAATTATATGATTTAATTGAAGATTAATTTCAAGGTCGTGTTCAAAAAACTACCAACTTAATATATACTACCAGCGGTTGTCTCTTGCGCTCGATAATGGCTGACGCGAAAGATTTCTTTCGCAAAATAACTCATTTAATAATAGACGAAATTCATGAACGAGATAAGTACACCGATTTTACACTTATTACCATTAAAGAACATTTAAAACGAGATAAAGATCTCAAAGTAATTCTCATGTCTGCGACAATGGATATCAGTTTACTCTCGAAATACTTCAATGATTGTCCAGTTGTAAATGTGCCTGGACAAGGGTTTAATGTAAAAATATTTCATTTGGAAGACATACTTTATCGCACAGGATATCGAACGGCGCTGATGGAGAAATATTTGCGTTCGATGAGTGAAACGAATGCAGCACACTGTGCAAAAATGTATATAGAAGGTGAAAAACCTAGTTCTTATTCGAAGGAAAATCCTGTTATATTGAGTGATGTATTTTTGCAACAAGGGTTAGATGCCATTATAGATCAATGTTGCTTGGACAATTTCCGATCTGAGGATGAATTACTTGCCTTATTTGACCAAATACAGTATTTCATTGAAAGTGAGGGAATGCCTGTGGATGCCGCACACTCCCAAACAGGTGCACTCGTATGCGTACTTAAACCTAAAAACATACTTTTTACATATTGATTCTAATTTAGGTATTACTCCGCTTATGGCAGCTTGTAAATGCAACTATTCAAAATATGTCGAGCTATTTTTGTTTCATCAGGCCAGTGTCCGCCTTCGTGATGCGCGCGGTTTTACTGCGCTTGATTATGCTAAAATGCATTCGGATAACACTTGCATCAAAATTTTACAAAACTCGGATGTTGGTTATAAGGAGCAGTTTCAATTAAGCAAAGAAGTAGAAGATAAGCAGCGAATTTTATTTGCTTATCAGCAACAGTTCAACGACGAAAATGAAGTCGATCATGATCTCATTTTATCATTGTTGGAAGGTCTCTACCGGAGTCCTCATCCTGGTGCTATAATGGTCTTTTTACCGGGATACAATGATATAGTGCAGCAAAGAGATCTCATTCAAAGTACTCTTCCCGCCAATACATATCGAATTTGTATTCTGCATGGACAAATGGATTCACACGATCAATTTGAGGCTCTACAAAGACATACAGTGCGAAAGATAATACTTTCTACAAATATTGGTCAGACGTCAATAACAATACCCGATTTGGCTTACATCATCGATTCAGGGAAGGTTAAAATGAAAACTCATGACTCAATCACGGAATCATCACAACTGCAATCGGTGTGGATATCAAAAGCCGATGCAAACCAACGATCTGGTCGTGCTGGTCGAACACAGAATGGTGTGTGCTATCGTCTGTATTCCACGGCAACGTATGAGTATATGCCGAAGTTCTGCATTCCTGAATTTATGCGTATACCCCTAACCGAAATTTGTTTATATGCTAAGACGCTGGACCGTCAAAGCGACGTTGCAACTTATTTATCACGCGCGCTAAACCCTCCCTCAAGTGTGAGTGTGCAAAATGCTGTTAGAAAACTGCAAATGCTCGAAGTTTTTAACGACGATGAAAGTGTAACAGAATTAGGTCGCCATTTGGTAGAGATTCCTTTGGATGTACAACTGGGCAAATGTCTGCTATATGGAATTTTTTTTAAATGCTTCGACTCCATATTGACCATCGTTGCTTATCATTCGGTAAAAGATCCCTTCATTTTACCAACAGATCGCGCGGCCCAAGGTCATGCTTCTTTCCAACGAAAATCATTTGCTGGAAAAACATTTAGTGATCAGCTCGGAATACTTTCGTTGTATAAATCATATTGCTCGGTACGTAACAATAGGAAACGAGTCCGCGAGTTCTGTAGTAAATTCTATTTGTCGCAATCAGCTATGGAAATGTTTTTTGCAACACGGCGTCAAATATCTGATCTAACATCCCAAAAATTTCGGCTCGGACAACAGGCTTCTCTTTTCAATGAAGATTGGAATATGGTACGATATTGTTTGGTGGCCGGTTTTTATCCAAATGTGGCGGTTATTGATCGCCAACAGGGCTCGCTTATATCGGGAGCAGAGAAACAATTAATACTGCAGCGAACATCAGCATTGAATCCACCAGGCATGAAAAATTTAAAAGAATTTATTGACGAACTTCCTCACGACTGGTTGGTGTTTTTTGAGAAATCACGTGTGGCTAGTAAATGTTCAATAAATATGAATACGGTAGTTCCGCCAGTGGTAATTGCACTTCAGTGCGGGCGAGATTGTGTGTTGGATGAAGATACTTTGGATGAGTCTGAAATTTCAGATAACGAAGAATACATCTCTGAATTTCCAAAAGTGGAATCGGGAGAAAAACTAGATCTGGTGGAAAAGGTCGAAGCGATCTCCCTATCAAGATCTATTGATGGCAATAGTCGAAAAGCTATAATGTCTGTAGACAATTGGATCAAATTTGAATTACCTATTGATGACGCTAATATGCTTTTGCAACTGCGAAACCTAATAAAATCCCAATTCGAAATATTTTTGCACAGTGGGAATTTAACACAAACATCGACGTCAGTTTATCATGTACAAAAACTCCTCTATAGTTTAGAAAATGTTTTTCCAACATAAGTAATATATACAAATTTTGGCAGGCGGTTTTGACATCACAATTATTTGATATCAAGTTCCACTGCTGGACATGTGTGTAACGAATATTCAAAATTGTTAGCATGTTAGGTATATTGTAAAATGACATTTTAACTATATTGCCTTTTTGTTTCATATAACATATCTTAGGTACACATACATACATATTTTATTAAATGGTTCGGAAAGTAGATACTTTTAAATTTATTTCATATTTTTTTTCTTTATATGTCATTAATAAGTGGCCTTTAGTTGTATGGATAAAACTAAACGTGTCCAAATTCTCGGTTTCATCGCCCCGAAATATGTGAATAGACTAAAAACAACGAAATACAAAGTTTTGGAAGAATTGCGAATGATGTAGAAGGGGCTCACGGCCACTGAAATCCTCAATAATTAGGCTTTTAAGATGACGACCTACAAATAACTTATTATGAACCAAAGTTGGAAAGTTTAAATCATTTCTAAAATCTTTAGATTATTAGTTAAGTAAAATGGCTAAAATCAGAAAATCGCCCAACTAATAAAGTTGCCACCACTACTGGCCAATACCACGATTATACATAAGTATCTCTTCAGTAGGAAGATTTTTTACACAACAAAATACATGTACATTTTTGGTATTTGTACTGCTGCTATCACTTTATATTAATTCGACTTGATTTTTATCTTTGATCTCTATTTTTGGGGGATTTTGTTAAAATTTGTTGAATTTTTATAATTTTTGTACAAACTTTGAAATATGGATTTATATAGTGTGTGTTGTTGTTGTTGTTGTAGCAGCAGTACTCGTCCTCTGACTCGACAAGCCTGAGGCCGAGAAAGCGGGCAGCGTCTATAGGCGCGGTTCATAGTGCTTCTGGTGTCAGGGTCGTGGAGTTAGAGGCGCATGCGAAGAGGTGTTGGGTGTTGTGTGGACCTTGCCCGCATGCAGGGCATGTGTCTGCCACTTCTGGGTTCAGCCGGGAGAGATAGCTGTTTAATCTGTGGCACCACCCAGAACGGAGTTGTGCTAGGGTGCACCTGGTCTCTCTAGGCAGTTCGGCTTCGTCGATGTTGATGGGTGGCGGTCGACCACCTAGAACGATGTTGTCGTTTCTGGTGCTAAGACTCGACCTGACTGCATCGGTGTGTAGGTGGTTAAGCGCCGCTCTGTATTTCTCTGCGTCGAATGGGTGGTCTACGCACGGCTCGACGTCGGATTTCCAGTCGTGCAGGTGACGTCTGACATGTCGGGGAGGCGGTTCATTTCGAAGCAGGGCGTTATTGGGGTGATTTCCACGGTAACATCCCACGAGGAACTGCTTCGATAGCAACGTGTTGTGCTCTTTCACCGCCAGCATCTGGCTTTCTTTGTGGAGCTGATGCTCGGACTACATGAGATGGCAGCCTGTAGCCGTGCGTAGAGCTGCATTCTGGCAAGTTTGTAAGTTTTTCCACTGCGTATCGCTGGTACCCGCCGTCCACACTGGCGCTGCGTAGTTTGCCACCGACCGGCCGATTGCTTTATACGTGGTGAGTAGGGTTTCTTTGTCGGCTCCCCAAGTGCTGCCGGCTAGTGACTTGAGGACTTTGTTCCTAGCTCGCATCCTTTCGCAGGTGGCTGAGGCGTGCGCAGAAAAGGAGAATAGGCTGTCGAACGTGACTCCCAGGATTTTTGGGTGGTTGACCGTCGGTATTTTGTTGTCATCGACGTAAGNGCGCTGCGTAGTTTGCCACCGACCGGCCGATTGCTTTGTACGTGGTGAGTAGGGTTTCTTTGTCGGCTCCCCAAGTGCTGCCGGCTAGTGACTTGAGGACTTTGTTCCTAGCTCGCATCCTTTCGCAGGTGCCTGAGGCGTGCGCAGAAAAGGAGAATAGGCTGTCGAACGTGACTCCCAGGATTTTGGGGTGGTTGACCGTCGGTATTTTGTTGCCATCGACGTAAGCGTCCAGCTCTAGCCTAACTTCCTTTGTCCAGGTGGTGAACAGTGTGGCGGTGGATTTCGCGGCGGAGATAGTGAGGCTCCTGCCAGTGAAGAAATTTGGNTTGTTGTCATCGACGTAAACGTCCAGCTCTAGCCTAACTTCCTTTGTCCAGGTGGTGAACAGTGTGGCGGTGGATTTCGCGGCGGAGATGGTGAGGCTCCTGGCAGTGAAGAAATTTGCAAGATCGGTGAGATAGTCGCTGATTTTCCCGCATAGGCTGTCAATATTGGGGCCCGTCGCCATAATCGTGCAATCATCGGCGTAGCTCACCAAGTTAACTCCTGCTGGCGGCGGAGGGAGTTTCGCCATGTAGAGGTTGAACAGTGTCGGGGCGAGTACGCCGCCTTGGCGTTTCGGAATTCGACCGATGATTGGCGTCCACACAGATAGCTGGTTATCCACCGCTTCGTCCGATCCGGAAGCGACGAGTCCAGGACGTCTTGGCAAAGGATCGCGTGGTTTGCCGTGTCGAAGGCCTTCGACAGGTCCACCGCGACTAGGACCGTCCTATCACAGGGTCGACGTTGGTTCAGACCCTCGCTTATCTGTGTGGTGATGGCGTTTAATGCAGTGATTGAAAGCTGCAGTGATGTACTCGACTCCCACTGGTCCTAGCTGCCTGCGTCTCTTCTGGTGTAAAGCACGTTGGTGTGTCTCGGGGGCGGAGTTTGTGTGCTTTACGTAGCACACTGAGGCGGGCTTTGTCTCTCTCCGGGTGTGCAATAAACTGCCGGCTGAAAAAGCGCGCGCACGTCCGTGGGTCGCTATCGCCGAATTTAAGGGCAACGTTGTCCTTACGTTTCGCCGGATGGGAGAGAGATTTTACTGTCGTCCACAGTTTGCTAGCTCCGCTGGAGAGATTGCAGGTCTTGAGGTGCTCATTCCACGTTTTCCGCTTGTGTTCGTTAACCAGTTTGTTAATGTCCTTGTTGAGATCCTTGATACGGGGATCACCAGTATTAGACTGGCGGATTCGATCACGCTCGTCTGGATTTTGGCAATCCTACCGGCTGGTATGAAGCGGGCGGCTGCTGCGTTGATGATCCGGCGGATGTTGCGCTCAGCTTCGGGCGCGCATGTTGGTGGCGGAAGAGCATTGAATTTGCGGTCTGTGTGTTCCGGAAAACCGTCCCAGTTGGCCTTCTTGGTGTTCATATACGTACGGTCTTCGGATGTAACAAAATCTCTTGGGTGGTCTATAGCGACTACTATGGGCTGGTGGTCTGATGCGAGCGTGAGCACTGGTTGCCAACCAATGCAATTTATCAGACCCCCGCTTGCTATAGTGATATCTGGCGAGCTGTAGCAGTCACCCGCGACCCTGGTGGGGGCATCGTCGTTTACAGTGCAAAACGTTGAGTCGTGAATTTGTTCTGCGATTAGTGTACCCCGCTGGTCGTTGCCCAGGTTGGAGTGCCAGAGTTCGTGGTGCGCGTTAAAATCCCCGGTTTTCGCCTTCAAGTAGCGCACTTATGTTCGGGCGATACCCTGCTGGGCAGCTGGTGGCAGGTGGTATGTACACGTTGACGACTTCAAGCTCAGTATCTCCCGACTTGATTGCCACGCCTTGGTGCTCAATGAGTGTGTCGTTGGCGGCGATTCGGGGGGTAATGAGCCGGTATTGGATCGCGTTGTGCAATATAAAGGCGATGCCGCCTCCGGCGCCGCGAGGGCGGTCTCTTCGGATGACGTTGAACTCATCCTGACTCTGAAGGCTAGAGCCGGAGTGGAGTTTGGTTTCCTGGACCGCCGCGACTGAGATTTTGTTGCGCCTCATGAAGCTGACTATCTCAGCGATCTTGCTTTGTAGTCCGTTGCAATTGAACTGCAATAGTTTGATGGAGTTGGGCCTGGTGATGGTAATTCGCGGGGTGAGGGAGTACTGGCGCGCTGCCTGAACTGCTTGCTGTGCCTGTTGTGTTTGTTGCGGGTGTGGTGGTCCGACCGCTGGTGTTGTCACCGGTGTTGGTGCCGGTGTGGGTGTGACCGTGGGCCGCGGTTGTGGGATTGCCGCTGGCGTTGGCATTGGCACAGATGTAGGTGCAGGCGATTGGGGTTGTGTGGCAGCAGCGCAGCAGGATGCAGTGAAAGCAGCACTCCATTCGCGATGGTGTATGAGACGGAGTAGCGTTTCAGGTGGCACCCGTTGATGCATGCGTTGCATCTTACTGATGTGGTGTTTCGCCTTATCAGGTTGTGGCAGACGCTGCAGTACCATCTGCTTTGAGTGGATGTCCGGGGTTGTATGCTGGGAGTTGGTCCACTGGCTGTTGGTTGGGCGGGCGCTGTTTGTGTGGAATGCTGGGCTTGCTGTGGATTGTTGCAGCACGATGCAACAAAGTTAGCACTCCACTCTCTATGGTGCCGGAGGCCTGAGCATGCTTTCAGATGACACCAGTTATTGCAGCTGTTGCAACGGACTGAGGTGGATGAGTGGTGTAAATTTCGGTTGCAGACACTGCATGTCCGGGGTTTTGCTCTATGCCGGCGCGGACCAGTAGTATGCGGAGCAGACTTGCCGGTAGGTCATGCTCCCAGTGCGAAAAAATGGGGGGGGTTGCTGCTGGGGTAATGGTCCTTGGTCGGAGTGGGTGCTCCGAGTCAATCCGGTAACGTAGAACCGACCATCTTGGGATTGTGTGTGTTATATATTGCGCTAGACTTTTATACAAAAACATTAAACATCGAATAAACAAAGTAATATAGCCAAAACTGGTCAAAGTAAAAAGTTTCTATTATTTCTTCCACCACTGTATTATGAGTTGAGCGATTATTCAACCTTGAGTCATTTTCAATTACGCCCCTTACGTCATATGTGGGACACCAAAGATGAACAAATCATATTTTTTCCTGTATTTCAGTCGCTGTGAGCCATCTCCAAATATGCGTCAATACGTCCAAAACTTTTTACTTTGTATTTCGTAGTTGTTAGTCCAATCGGATATTTCAAAGGGTGTGACCGAGAATTCGAACGATCCCAAATAAAGGCCTCTCGAATGTGCACACTTACCAACCTTAAGAATGCTACAGAAAACTGATCTTCGTATGTAATGTAAAAGTGAATATCTCACATTTGCTGGATCGATTAAAATAAATGCGTAAAATACAAATACCTTTTGCAGTTTTCTTGCATGCAGGCAACTAGGTTATAAGTCTAGAATAAATACCAACCGTTTAGCTATGAAAAAACTAAAAATGTGGGTCGATAGATGCTGATTTCTACGACTCCACTTGGCGCAAGTAAAACATAAAGAATATATAAGACGTTAAAGTTAAATTTAAAATTTTTTTATAATATTTATATCTTATAAATTACATAAGCGTCTAAAAATTTATGTGTTTCTAATATTTTCCACAAGCGAAAAATTCAAAAGTCGAAACTTTTGCACACAATGCTAGAAAAATGTATATGGGTGTTTCCAGCGGAGAAAAAATAAAATTCATGTACATATGTACATATCTAATTTATTTTTGGGCCAATTTGGCTTATTTTTATTATATACTACATAGCCGGTCTCGGAGGCTTCGCCACATACATAAGTACATACATTTACGCATTTGGAGAAAGCAGGTGGCAACCCTATTAAAAAAATAAAGCCTTGTCGCACACCTAAGGCCAAGCTCTTTCATTTGACATCTTATGTTTTTAATGCAACGAACGGTGTTTAGACAGGCGGAAACTCTAAATATTAAGAAAAAAATAGATAAATAAAACTTTATTGCGAATCTGATATTATTAATAAAAAATGCCTTCCCGTATTATACATACATATATAAGGTAGTAATTTTTAGAAAATCGGCAACCCCACCAAAAAAGAAAAAATGAAAGCTTATTGCACATTCAAATACCATTTACTTTCACGTGGTACCTCATTTAAACCCGTTTATTTGACATTTCACTTTCTGTAATTTACCGAACGGATCTTATACGTTTTAAGACAGGTGGAAACCCTATAGAAATTCTCAATACTTAAGATAATACCCTATCGACACAGATAATAATAAAGAAAATCTCG